ACGACGACACGGGCGTTTCTGCTGTCTTGAGAGTGCCGCCACGACATCGCCGCACGAGTAGGTGGATCTTCCCTTCTAGTACATGCTGGGTTATCATAGCGACACACAACGAAAATTCACAGTCAAGGATAGCGCTTTTACGCGGAACGATGAGCTTCCACCACGCCGTCTACGTCGACAATTACAACCGACGCCATGTTCGCGGAAAGAAGCCGGCCCGCGACCGGCATGCAATGTGTGCGAACACTTCTCCTCGACCTGCGATTGGTCTGTCGTTGCGGTTGTTTCCAAAGCAGCGGAGGGAAGCATGCATGTGAACGACACGTGCGTGCGTCCCTTGGTCGCTATGGCAACTGAAGCCTCTCTCTTCGCTTCTTCGAGCAATCTCCTTGCCCCGCGAGTGCCGCTTGCGGCTAGCGCCGCTATCGAGTGTCGCACAGGGAAGCGTGCTCGCTGCACCGGTCAATCGCCGCGGTCGGCGGGCTCCTCCAGAAACCGCACTATAACCGGTATTTCCCTTCGCGCGCCTGCATTTTAAGCGGTATGTAATTACATGGAGTTCTATGGGAGGCGAACCGGTGGTTTAAAAAAGCCGAGTTATACCTGGTCCTGCACTGTAAGCGGTTATGTTGTAAGTGGTCTATACTGTATCCTGTTTGGACGCCCCTCTACACGGGTTGGGAAAAGTAGGGATTTTTCATTGTGGCCAGTAGAAAGTCGCCTCCTGGAACTCTTGCGGCCGGCGTAACATAAAAATTTAACAGCTTCCCAAAACAATTTACGGGAAAATTTTATTTTTTATAAAATATTTCGGCTATTAGCTGACAATGGGTTATTGATGGGATTTGCCAATTTCCAGCCAAATTGAAGACTATAAAAAAATCGTCAAAGTTCCCCTGACAGGGTAATTATGCTCGCCAAGCTTTTTATTTGTGTATGACATATAAGAGCCCACCTACCCAGAACGCAATTTGCGGCTCGAAATTCTTTTTCTTTCTGCCCGAAAACCGCCGATCGAGAACTGGCCGGTTTGAGTCGTGCTCACTCTCTTCTCCGTGGTCACGTGCCATTTTCTGTGGTTTAGACACAACCACTAAGGATAATCGAAGTTGTGCATCATTGAAGGCACACAGTCAGTACTAGAAATCAATAAAAAATATGATACCCATTTTTTGGGGCTTCTAAAAAACTGCAAATACGTTGATTGAATATAATAAAAAGTTGCACTTTCGGTATCTTTCTCCTCCACTGTATTTCTTCTTCTTCCCCAGTCCGGTTTTGGTTTTCTGTTCAAGCAGTTGCGTTTTTTTTTTCTTTATTAAATATACATGACACTGTAGCAAAATTTTGATTGGGCAGTCTTCTGACACCATAATAAATCGCCTGGCAAAAAATGAAAAAGATTTTTGGGGGGTGTCAGTGTCCCTTTAACCCATTGAGTGCAAGCCAGTGCAAGCGGCGCCAAAATCAGAGATTAAGGGTACTTCCGAAAATAATTACTCTGTGGCTACTTGATTTAATCCCATATTTGCCACCATTTCTGAAAAAAGCCTCGAAGTACGCCTAAGCACTTCTTATGAGTTGTGAATGCAAAAGCACGCACGCCGCTCTTCACTCCTTTCTTTAATCTGTGACATACTACGTGCTGATCTTGGGCGTGGAATGGTGGAGCCGCTGCCTTGCGGACACACAACGCCATCGGGTGAGCGATCGTTCAAACTGTCATGTGCCCTGTGGCACGAGGAAGGAACAGACAGCAAGATAGTTCCCAGCAGAACAAACCTTTTGGTTTAATCCATGCTACGTATATATTGCCATGTGCCGTACAACCAATAAGAAGCAAGCAAAAGTGGTGATCACTGATAATCCAACAATGCGATAACACAGTCAGGATGACACCACGCAAACTGACGCGCAGCGGCCAATGGGAGCCTCGTCAACGCATGCCAGCCAATGGGACTGAAGTGCAAAAGGTGTCGTTTGCTAGCTTTGCGCGTGGTTTCATTAAGGTGTCGTTTTGCATGGTTTCAAAGCTGATGACGTCTGCTCACTCCATGAGACAGTTGATAACTGATGCACCATTGATTACCCCGGGGGAGGGCGTACCAGTTTAGAAAAAACAACACCGTGTAGGGGAATGAAGGTCACCATGAACGATTCCGTTAAAAAGGACCTGTACTTTACTTCGAAAGTATAGGGTGGTCCAAGTCACCACCCTCGATCTAAAATGAACCTTAAAAATCGACGCCTGCACGTAGCGATCTAAACTTTTTGTCAAAGGTGTATTTCACAGGTCGGTTTTTTCTTGTAAAATTACAAAGCGTAGCTCTCTTTTCGTAAAAAGTAAGCCCAAGAAACTTGCCAGGGTCTACGGCGGGCAGCGACGCAGATGACAGGAGCTCTGTAGCGGGGTGTGTTTGGCGTTCGTATTGATAGATGGCGCTACTTCTTTATCACAACGGCTACCGTGGTTTATTAAAATGAACATAATCTTTTTGAAATGTGCCTTCGGTTAAAAAATAAATGCGGGCAATAAAAGCAATACTTAAAGTAAAAAAATGCGCCTCCATAACGGCGGCGCTTTAGTGCCACTGGATTTCGTCTGCGTGTCTGCTTTCTTTCGCTGGTTGGCTGCACCTTCGGACGCTGCTCCCCACGCCATCTATCAATACCAGTCATGGGCACGTTACCAGTAAAAAGTAACAGTGTTACAGTTACAGTTACCTAGGCAAGGAAAGTAACTCTGTTACAGTTACAGTTACCGGTTTCAAAAAGTAACGTGTTACAGTTACAGTTACTGCAAAAACAGTGACGCCGTTACTTTCTCGTTACAGTACAAAAATTGGACACAAGGAATCACAAACCAAAACAATATATTTTATTTGTTACCATATACTGAGAAGAAAGGTAAACTGAGACATTAGAAAAATTTTAACCCGAAAGGTGTTTCTTTTTTGCGGCATTCGCCGTTTCAGCATTTTGATGTGCATAATTTATTTGCAATAATTGTTATAACTTAGAATCAACTGTTTTTCAAAATTGCCATCGGCCTGCGTCAGTGAACGTTTTGGTTTATTTTTCACTCCGAAACGAATGAGGAAAAAGATGTTCACATAATGACCTTATGGGATATATCCACTCGGAAGCAAGCCTAAACATAGCAGATTAAATAGCTTCCAAAGAATAAAGGGGGAAAGGAGACAATTAGCTTCTGGTGCTTTACGAGTGTACGACAACGACCGCGGCGTCTATGTCCGAAACGCCAACTGTGGAAGTCATATTCACTCGAGCGGCTCCGAAGATAATGAATAAGTTAAACAAGCGCCTGCTTTCTGCTCATTATGGGGACGGCTTCCTTGAAAACTAATGCGGATGAGGAAACGGCGAACGGCTGGGTGTCAAAGCTACAGCACGGACATATCCGAGACACAGCCCGCACGGAATGCTCGGAGTCACCCCACGACCACCGACACCCGCAGGTGGTCCCCACGAGAGAAGAGTGAGCCAAAGTCGGTGCAACAGACATTGTTTGCCGCCCCTACCACCGCGGGCGCCGCTTCCTTTATCTCCCGGTTTCGTGCTAACTCGTCCGTTGTCCATTCTCGGTCACTGCAATTTTTTTTTAATGCGTGGCCACGCTTCTTCTACTTCTTCGTCTTATTATTTTTTTTTTTTTTGTCAGCATGGAGTTTGAAGAAAATACTTCAAGATAGCAATTTCTCCATGTCCGTAACGGTGGGTTCTAATTTATATAGTAGAAAAAAAAAAGTAACTGTAACGGTGTAAACAGTTACAGTTACCCAATAAAAAAAGTAACAGTGCTACAGTTACAAGTTACCAGTATTAAAGAGTAACGCGTTGCGGGTAAAAGTTACCGGAAAAAGTAGCTAGTTACTGGTAACGCTTTACTAGTAACTGGTTACTGCCCAAGACTGATCAATACGAACGCCAAACACACCCTGCTACTGATCCCCTGTCGTCTGCGTCGCTGCCCTGGCAAGTTTCTTGGCCTTATTTTTTACAGAAAGAGAGCTAGGCTTCGTAATTTTACAAGAAAAAACCGACCTGTGATATGCACCTTTGACGAAAAGATTAGATTGCTACGTGCAGGCGTCGATTTTTACGGTCCATTTTAGATTGAGCCTGCTGACTTGGACCATCCTATACATGGTATTCATAGTACTTTACTCAAGTACATTGCACCCGGTGTACTTACCACTTTACCTGAAGTACAGAACCTCCCATTTACTTTGTACTTTACCTTGAGTACTTTTTAGATGTATGTTACCCCACACCGCATTCTAGTTACGTGCGGATTGGTAGGGTTCTGCGATTATCCGATAGATTGTGTCAGTGAGTTCTGTCGTAAAAGATTTTAAGAAGTGTGAATGCTCACGGTCGTAAGCAGTCGCAAGTGTGTGTAGGGGCCTTCATTGTTTGCGAGTTTTGCTGTTGTTATTAGTGAAAGTGGCCCTTACGCTCCGTTGCTACCGTACCAGAAACAGAGGACCATTTGAGAAGCATGTCTGTTCTTTGTGTTGTTTGTTCTCGCATCGACCACGCAATGTGGGCAGTCCAGTGCCATAAATTGTGGCTCCTCAACTATGTTATTGGTTTCCATCTTGCGGATATCTGCTGGTTTGAACTCGTGCAACTGCTGGATGGAGAAAAGTTTAACTGCGTGCGTGAGATATCATTGTCCGAAGGCGCACTAGTCCGAACTTACGAGTTGGTCCGAGCAGACGCTTTAAAATGTGTCGACTAAAAAATGATGCATTTGCGTGCCCCACTTTAATAGCTTGGTTTAGAGTGTATGTGCCTCTTCTAAAATAGTATTACTTAGGAGAAAATTCTTTGGTTGCAATGTGGAACTCTTTACTTTGTCACAAACACTGGTGAAGAGGCATCTTCTTTTGGAACTAACAAATGATACCGTGTGCGCTGCCAGCTCTCCAGAGAACAGTTTGTTCATGCCAACGTCTCGCTGCTCTCTGCTGCAGGGACCTGAACAAGCTGGTGTGCACAGTTCGAGATGAATCGGTGGCTCCTCTTTTCAGAGGTTGGTGGACATTGCACGCTTCACTGGGTGCTCTTGCATTTGGGGGATCTTTTATCTGCCCTTAAAGGGGCACCAAAGTGGTTTTTGAAAGTGTCTATTTATGGTCATAACTCAACCTACGGCCTAGAAGCATTTTAGAAAGCCATAACTTTCCCTCACAATGTGCGAAGAAACGAAAGCAATAGCTGTAGCACGGTCACGCAATGCAGGTGGAATGGTGCCGTCACGTACCTGAGGGCAGAGGTGCGACGTGGTTAATTTTCATAGCCGTCGTGGTTGGCGTCAGGGATGCCACTGACGACCGCCACAAGTGCTCGGTGATCCGTGATGAAAGTGTGTAAGCGCACTGGAAGTTTCTGAAACTGTCCAACATTACAGGTAGCAACTGGATATTGCCAAAATGGGATTTCGCATAATGCGCGGAATATTTGGAAGCAGCTGTTTTGAGCAGACAGCAGAAAAATTCTCCCTTCATCGTGCCATTTTTGGTGGGACGCTAGGGCTGTCTTCTTCTCTCTTTTCAGCTGCACAGCCGACAGAAAGTCCTTACTTCCCTCTCCTCGTGCCAACTGGGGAGAGAAAAAGAGTTGTATCATTTTTTGCGCGCGCGGCGACAACCACCTACGAGGACAAAAGCTCTGTAAAGCGTCGCCCATAAAGCTGTCGCTTTAAAAACCGAAGATTAGATTGATATGCATCTGATTTCCCTATTAAAAACAAGGATCAAAGATTGCAATACGCGCATTCTTTTATGATTCGGTGCAGAAACCAGATGGCACCGTTGGACGTGCAACAGCCAATTGCGATCAGTCGCTTCCTGTGTGGCAAGAGAACAGACCAACTACAGACTGATTTTCTGATGGTTGCGGTTCGCTCTCAAGAAGCTATCACTCGTAATCGGCTGTCGCACATCTGATAGCACCCTCTGGTTTCTGCGCCGAATCATAGAAAAACAGGCTAGTTGCTATCTTTAATCCGATTTAAATAAGGAAATCGGATGCAGATCAATATGACTGGTTTTTTAATGCGAAAGCATTGACTGTCTCATAAAGCGAAGCCGGCAGTGTCTGTAGCAGCGAAAAACGGCACCTAAATTCTCATTTTTTCATTAGCTGAGCGAAACTGCACCTAAAGTTGCATTGGCTGCGACGCGTCATATCGGATACTTCATCACTGAAGCCGGTGAGTCCGCTCGAGGTCAAAGCGGACGCACCTTAAAAATAAAAATAAAAAAAAGCACAGCAACGCAGAGGCATTGTCCCAGAATACGGCAGGGCCGCTCAAGGTCAAAGTGGATGCACCTCAGAAATAAAACACAAAGAAAAGCACAGCTACGAAGGTGCAAAGTCATGGAAGTCTTGGAGCCAGCGGGGTTCACCGCGCCTGGGCAGCGGGGAAGCGTGATGTCACCACCGGAGCGCCGCTTGAGAAAGGAAGACATGGCGTGTTGCTTGTAGGAATGCTTTTGCATTCCTAAATGTAAGAGTTTTAAGTGTCCTCTTGTAATTTTTTTTTAGAATGCCTAGGGCCTGTAGATTAAGTTATAATAATAATAATAATAATAATAATAATAATTCTTTATTTGTATCATGCCCCAGAACAACCTATTGCTGGCACATAAAAAGTTAAAAAAGGGGGGAAAAAAAACAGATCAAACAGCACACAATCTCAAACGACATACGCTATTGAAATCAAAACATTTCACAAATCAGAAACCAAAAATATGCATATCAAGTAGTCGTTTGAATGCAGCAAAATTTAAAAATATGTCTACATGAGTAGGAAATTCATTTAAACAAATTTGCATTCGAGCCGAAGGGGATGGTCTCGTTTCAATAGATGTATAAAACACACTTGAGTTTCTAGTGACAAGGGCCGGTACATGAAAGTTTAAAAAGGACACAAGATTGCTATCTATTTTGCCGTGAACCACTTTGTATAAAAATATAATGTCACGAGCAATTTTTCTTTTTGACAGGTTCTGTAGTTAAAGTTCTCCAAGAATGTATTCATAATCAAAATACCATTTTCTATCAAAATATCCATTGTAAACAAGGCGTATGAATCGCTTCTGAACTCTTTCTATCCATGCAGCATCGGTTATTGTTAGCGAATTCCACGCTGAACTACAGAACTCAGGTGTAACTCGTACAAGGGAACAAAACAATCGAACTATGCACACTATATATGAAAAATCACGCGTCAAACGTTATATCATCCCTATTGTTCTAAAGGCAGAAGCAACAATTTGTGTAACATGATATGAAAAGGTAAGATTACTATCAAAATAAACACCAAGGTCACGAACTTGTTCCACACGTTCATTAGTAGAATTGCCGATAAAATATTCATGTAAAATTCTTTCGCGTTTTCTACACATAGAGCACACTTTTGTTTTATCTGGATTGACCAGCAAAAAGTTACATGAGCACCAGTTTGAGATATGTGATACACCTTCTTGCAAAAGAGCACAATCATCTCCCGACTGGATTCTAAGATAAAGCTTAATATCGTCTGCAAATAAGAGCAGTTTCGCATTTTGTATGCACAATTTTATGTCGCTGATGAATATAAGAAAAAGTAGCGGCCCCAAATTCGATCCTTGAGGGACTTCCAAAGTTGGAGTAAATACATCTGAGAAGCTATTCAAGATTTTTATTCCACTCTTCCTATCCGACAGATAACTATGAAACAAGTTTAAAAGAGACGACGAAACGCCGTATAAAGAGAGCTTATACAAGAGTAAGTCATGATTTACCTTATCGAAGGCTTTTAATAAGTCAAAATATACAATATCAACTTGCCTGCGTGTAACAACAAATGGGACAGTATACTCAAAGAGAGAACAAAGGTTTGTTTATTGAACATCCTTTTATAAATCCATGCTGAACGGTGCTTAGTTTTCGACTAAAGTGTAAAGAGACGGGCATGTGAAACTATCTAAAAAACCTTTGAAAAAGGACACAACAAAGACACGGGGCAGTAGTTATCTACCCTAGACGCATCACCTGCTTTGTGTTTTGGCACTATCACTGACCTTTTCCAAAGACATGGGAAAACACCATTTCTCAGCGATAGGTTAAATATGTGCATAAGTAAAGGGGCAAACAAATCAGCGCAAACTTTAATAATAAAACTAGGTATTGTATCATTTCCCGCTGACTTCTTTGGTTTTAATTTTTGAATTGCCTTTAAAATTTCATTTATATCGACCTCACTAAATGTGAAAATGTCGTCACAACCAGTAGCGCAGATTGAACACTTGCTTTTGAATTCCTCCTTGGAATAGCACTCACGGAAGTAATTTTGGAATATATTAGCTACTTTTTCAGGATTTGTAACGTAGTCCGTATCAGTACTTAAATAAATATTTCTTGCCGACTCTTTCGTGTGCTTCCTGACAAATCGCCAGAATTTATCAGGCTCACGATAGAGACTATTTTCTACCGATTTTTTTATAAATGAATTTGTCATGTTTACACAGTTTCTTTACAAGCGCTCTGTAAACATTAAACTTTATGTACCATAATTCAATGCCGGTTGTTTTAAACAATTTATGATAGTGTTCTTTTTTATGCATGCAGTGTTTCAACTCCCTCGAGAACCAAAACTGGTATTTAGAAGGCTTAGACAATCGCTTTAGAATGAACGCATCGATTGCATTTTTCATTTTGACCTTATGACCATAGATAGACATTCTTGGAAACCACTTTAGTGCCCTCTTGATGATGGCTGACAAACCTCTTTTTTCCTTTCAAAATCCTTGCAACAAAGCTGCACTAAAGCCTACAGACTCACTGTAGTGCATCAGTGATTGGCTCTGATATGCTAAAATAGTGCTACAACACAACCCCACTTAGATATATCTGAAATCGCAAGAATTTTCGTGCCCTGGGAAACTCGTAAGGTTCCTAGGAACAGAGTTTGAGATCCCATGCACTAAGTGTTTTTTTTTTTTTTTTTTTTTTGTATTCTGATGTAAGATGTAATAACTGCTTTTTTATTTCGGAGTGAAAATAGTGATTTTCATCTTGACCTGGGTGAATCTGTTAGTGTCTCACTGCATGTGTCCATATTCTAAGGATTGGCTAATATTTTTTTTTTTTTTTTCAAATTGAAATAAATGAAAATTGAATTGCACCCTGCTAATAATTTAGAGTAATGTAAAATTAATTTAGCAAGCAATATAACTGCTAATAATTTAGAGTAATGTAAAATTAATTTACCAAGCAATATAACTGTGTGCTAAAAAGAAAAATGCACCTCAACTTTTTGCTTTGCTCTGCCTATATTTTGTTACTTTTTTGTGTGAACCCCAAAAAGGTAATAACAGGTTTTTAAAAGTGGCTTTATTATTTAGGGTGGTGTGGCCATCCTGCATATTTAAATGGGGTAAATCAGAAGACCCACCCTGACATGCATGCTTGAATCGAAGTGAAACCAAGCTTTGTCGCAAATAAATTTAGAATTTTGCATAAATCTAGAAAGATAATTATAATATCACTAAACAGAAAAGTATTACTATTACAGCATTTTCAACATTGAACCGGCACTGAAAATGTCAGCGAGGGTTTCTTGTGCGTGGCCGTGTGTTAGTTCAAACTCGTAATGCGTCCTTTTCTTGCTCTAGATTCACCTGGTGCGACGCTGAAGGCGTCGAACATCACCGAAGAGGGACTACCTCTGCTGACACTGTCAACCGGCAAGACATATCTCTTCAGCAAGGATTTGTGTTCATGGTGGGTCAAACTCTCCAGGCTAACACTCTTCGTAGAGAATGTACTACTGGATATTTCACACAGTGTGGGCCACAGTTTTTTGGCAAAATATGCATCACACTGAAGTAAAGGGCATCACCATAAGAAGTCAGTTCTAAAAATATTTAAGATTCATGCAACATTCTACTGCAACCGCCCAAAGAACATTTTATCTGTGCCAACAGAAGGCTGAAGTCTACAAGTGGCATTCTTTAATCCAGGGGTTCTCAAACTCTTCAATCTTGAGTTATGTCTATTTTTGTAGACTGCAGAGTCTCGGTGTGTATGTGTAAAGCAGTGCAGAAGCCTAGAGACTTTGTAAACAATGGTGCACATGTTTAGAACATAGTTATGCATCAATGTATGACACAGGTCTTCCTATTAATACCCCTGTCAGACGGGCTAATTTCTTCAACCAAGCATACTTCAGCACACCGAATGCCACTTCAAGTGTTTCAGTGCCGCACAAGAGGAATTAGTGTCACTCGGAAATGATGACAATAACGATGGGTAAAGTACTATTAGACAACTAAAATGTTAATCTCAGCAATATTTAGTCTTTTAAATAAAAGACACATTACAAGACTGTGTTACATTAATGGAAAATATTTATGCCAATTGGATGATTTTCATCCATCATCACAAGCCAAGATAAAGAAGAAGCAGCAAACTCACTTTAAGTCCAGTATGTTCTTCTAGAAGAAGCCGTGTGGCACACTACACAGGTGACATTAAAAGCGAAGTACACTTCGTTGAAGTGCACTAAAATTGCCCGTCTGACCTGAGTAAAGGGGGAGACCCTGGTCTTGTAACTAGTAGTGCAAAACTATTAATAGTACGGTACTATCCATAGTATCGATAGTAACCAGAAATCTGACTATCGATAGCCGACTATCGAAAAACTATCGATAATCGACTATCATAAACCTATCGATAGTACTGTCGACGGTTTACTATCGATAGTTTTGCGACACTAGTAGTTTGCATGGCTCCCTCTTCTCTATTTCTCGCTTTATTGTTTTAAATGGGACACCAACTAGCCCAAGCACTTACCATCCCAAATTTGGTTCAGCTTTCAGTGATGCCGAAGACGGGAGTTTGGGCAAAGAGAGGAGGAAGGGAGCCGAGTGGAGGTGCGGCAACTGTGTTCGCTCTAGCGGTGCAAAACTATCGATAGTATTATCGATAGTATCGATAGTCGCCAGAATTCTGACTACCGATAGTAATAAAACTATCGATAAGTCGCAGAACTATCGGTAGTCGACTATCAAAAAACTATCTATAGTTGAATATCGAAAAACTATCGATAGTACTATCGATAGATAACTATCGAAACACTATTAATAGTACTATCGATAGTCAACTAATGAAAAACTATCGATAGTCGACTATCGATAGTCAACTATCGAAAAACTATCGATAGTCAACTATCTATAGTTCTGCGACACTATTGATAGGTTTGGAAAAACTATCGATAGTATCTATAGTTGATTTATGGATAGTTTTGCATCACTACTTAAAACACAAAAATTAGAAAACAAGTTATTTTTTAAAACATTTTTTTTTCTTGATTTATAAGTCACAAACAACATGTTTTGTAAGTACCACACTCATAAAGTGCACATTTATATAGTTTCATCGATTCAAGGTTTCATATTGAGGCTCTTTTTGAGCATGTTTTGCTGTTTGCTCAGAACTCATTTGCTTTTCCTTCTTAATTTTCTTGTTTCATCAGAATTCATTTTTGTGCCCACGGTATCTTAGGATCTAGTACTTGGACGGACCTGAATACTTTCGTGAGGGTTTAATATTTGATAAATCGGAGAGTGCAATAAGACTACTATTTCTGGAAAATGTCAACTACAAAATTTTCCTATTAACGAAGACTTAAATTAGTACTCATTTCTAATTACCGGCTAAAACAATTTCATCCCGTGATAACTTTTTCTAGAATGATGCTAAAATTATAAAAATGGTTTTGTTGCGTACTCTACTGTTTGTAGAACATGCTGACATACATTGTATGTACCATATTGTTCTTGAGGTATTGTAAAAAGTTGGGCACAAACATTTGCAATAATGTTGAGGTTTTCTTGAAAACTGTAATAGATAGGAAAAATTTGACTTGTTTTTGTACAGTGAACCAGAGCTTATTGTAGATGTGAAAATTATAAATTAGGTCCGAAATGACAAAAATATGTTCAAAACCAGGGTCTCTCGATAAGTCAGAAGGATACATCACTTTAAGGGGGAACACTACCGAGAAAAAACGATTTCTGCAAAAAAAAGTTGATTTTGAAGAAGGACATATTTACATCCACCAACATCTAGAAAGTATTCCCGGAAGGTTTCATTAGTTTACACTGCATAGTTAATGTTTTTATAAATTATTTTCGGTCCACAGATGCAAAAGGAAAGGTAGAGGTTGGAGCACTTTGAACACATTTCTCTCCATTCCACTTTTTGGCATAAATTTCTCTTTAGGAAAACTATTGTTTTGTTATTCCACAACTTGGATTCATTTTTATGAGTTTTTCTGGGGTGAAATTTTAAGGAGAAGATAGCTATGAGCTTGTATTTTTTATTTTTGTCATTTTTCATGCTCAAGAACTAAAAGTTTGGACAAAGGATGAAAATCTAAATAACTGTATTTGTGTTTATATGGCTTTTTTGTCATGGAAGATGGTATAACATAGAAATATAGCTCCATAGTTACCTGCTCTGAACTGTCCTAATGCCATGCGACACATGAAAACGACAAATTTATAAGTAATTTCAAAACGACTTTTCCTACGCAGACACGCCCACTTTCGTCTTTGAACGTTTGCAATTTTTTTTGTACTTCACCCAGGTTAACAAAAATTGGCAGAAATGTTCTCAACATCAACAGAAACAAGCCCTGTACATATAATTTAAATCAGACAAGTGGTTCAAAAATTTACTTTTTTGGGTAGTGTCCCCCCTTAAGGGGAGGCACGGCCTAGGAATCGCGATTTTTTTCAAAAAAGTCACATTTTTGGAAAATAGGCTGACCAGCTTTTACAACTCATAAAGAATGCTGTCCAAAAATTTTATTCCTGTAAGTAAAGTATTTACTCCGAAATAAATTATTTTCGAAGTGCTGGCGGCCGCACGTGCGCGCTGACGACGCGGCCGATTACGAAAATGTGCCATTTTCAAAGCACGCTCCCTCCCCGTTTCTTAGAACTAGCATAAACAGGCCCCCCTCGTTGGAATGAGCGTCTCGCCCTCTTTCGTTCTGTTCGCAGCATTGTTCGCGATATCGTGCTCACAGACCGTAAAACCCCGTAGAAAACTTAGCTGTGCACGCTCTTATTGGTCAAGCTGGCGAAACAAGAGCTCTGATTCGCTAGCACGAGCCACATCACGTGGCTCGTCCTAGCGAATCAGGAAGCTCTGTTGGAAATGGGCATACAGCCAGGGAGCTACCAAGCGTCATACGGAGAGAGGGCCACCAAGATGAAGGTTGCGAAGGCCCAAGTGAAAGCGCTTGAATTCTCCAAGATGTCCCACAAAAAAAGGAAGATGGTAGCTGTGGCCAAGGCACAGAGGGACCGTGCAGAGGAACGAGTGACATATGCCCCTGGAGCATTTTAGATGAAATGGCAAGCCCCATCTAAACTAAAACACTGTTCGAACTTTCAAACCGTTTTTTCTCAGCTTCATGTTTTCACCATTTTTTCACAGCTCTAAAACTATCGTTCGATGAGTTAAGCGCCCCCAAGTCTAATGTATGGCTTTTTTGGCATGAAATTTACTGGAGAACTCGGCTATGCGCTTACCTTTTGCAAATTGTTATTTCTTCGCACAAAAATGTTGACGTTTGTGAAACAAGAAAAAAAAATAAAAATTCATACCATTATTGAAAGTTAATTTTTACGTGAAATATGGCCTTAAAAATTATTTCAAGCCTACTACCAATTAGTTTAGTCATTCAGCGTTATATCCCAACAAAAAAAATTGTGCCTTTTTATTCATATTTTGAAACTATAGTTTTTTTCTTTTGGTACTGCTACATGTACATTTTTTTCAACGAATAAGGCTGTAACTTGTCAAAAAATAAACCTTTTGGGTTGAAAGTTGGTGTAGCCTCCTAAGTTTTGACGTTTAAAATACCCAAAAAATTTCATTGACCTGGCACAAATACTTAAAAAGTAGACCCTCCAAGGGAGTGCCTCCCTTTAAGGGGCACTAAGGTGGTTTCTGATATTGTTATGGTCATATGTGGCTCAATCTACGGGTGATGGAGACTCGTGCTGCATTTTAAACCAAGGCTGTTGCAGGCTGCTGCTCACTGGAGGCGAGGATGCTGTGGCGCACTGCTCAGACCATTATGCCTCGATGCCGCCGTTGGACGGGATGAACGGCTCTGCCCTACCCCTGGGTTCTCTACAACACAACATGTACAGGTGCGTGATTGATGGGCCACGTCTAAAACTTTAATTGAAGCGGCAAAGTGTTACGCTCAAGTCTCCTCACCGTAAGCTTTTGTGTGTGTTTTGTTGGCGGGTGCTCCCATCTCTCACCCATATGGAAGCCTTTAAAGGGCCCATGAAACCAATCTTGGGTTGGGATAAATCATTTTAGATTGGGATTTTACTAATAGTGTTTGTGTCTGTAAGCTGATCCTGGCTGCTAGTGGACAAGGACAAGGAAGGGGGATACGAACGGAGCACGAAATGGAGCAGTTGGTTTTTCGGTCCTGTCTTACCTAGTCGCTCGTATTAAAAACACAACTATTGGCGCAATCAATGAGGATAGCCAGATGGGCTATGCGACTCTTCAGGTATGACTAAGAGGTACATTACCAGAAAGGAAACGACAATGTTGTAGCAGACGCACTGTCACGCCTGCCTACTCCGAATCCTTAAGATAGCAGCGAGGGCAGTGACAACGAGTAAGAATTCACTTGCCTGGTACGCAATTTATTAGGGGTGTGCGAATACTCGAATATACAAATTTGAATCGAATAGAAAGTTCCCGAATAATTCGATTTGCGAATTGAATTCCTAGTATTCGGTCACTCGAATATTCAATATATTCGGCCAAAGACGCGCGGTCGGCGCAGAGCTGACAAAAAAAGCCATTTTTCCCCCCAATGTAAGCGCCGTGATGTTAGACAAACCATGCGAAAAACAGCTCTTGGTCTTACCATTCCACAAAAATCTAACGCACAGGTTAGAAAAAAGAAAAGTAACGAACGCCACAAACTTTATAGCACGCAGATTTACTCACAATCGTGGTACAACCTACCCTTGAATCAGAACCGAAAGATCCCGTTTGCGCCGCTTCCAGAGAGGAATTGTTGGGAGGCCGAAATCCCGCGCCATGCCTAATTCTTTTCACGAGTAAAGCCCCTCGTTTCAAATTGAAGCACCGATGTAAAACACACTTGGCCGCACTCACAGAAATCGGCGACTGCACGATCACAGAAAGAAAACCACGTTAGACACGCCGATAAAACCAGCCGAGTTATCGTCGTCGTTCTTTTGGAACCTCAAGCCGCAAATTCTGATTCAGAATGAAATGGAACGGAAAAATAGTGTGCCTAGATTTGAGAGGGTTTCCAACCGTTCGATAGCCGCGTTTGAATTACGAACTGCGAGAAGGTGACGAAAAAACGAAAGCGTCGATCGGGATCGGGCAGGCAGGGCAGGGAGAGCAGGCGTCGTCGCCCTTCTGCTTGCTCGCTTTTTTCCTCGCGGCAACTCAACACATGCGCACTTGCGACCAATCTGCACTGGAGCCATCTCCGTGGTTTCAGTTTCGCTTGCTCCCTCTTTTAAATCAAGGCTCTCTAAAACAGGATAGATAGACGGAAAAATGGATGCATAGCGGCAGTTGGACGGTGTCTTGCGCCACCTAACCACGCTTTTTTTTTCTTACTTCAGATTATATTGTTGAAGCCTGTTTACTAAGATTTAACACCTTTCTGTTCATTTACATGAAATAAAATCCCGGGTGCCCTTTTTCTTCCTTAAAGTGAAAACCAAATATCGCAAAATGCCCCTTTCCTGAGATATGCAAACATTTATAAAAAAAAGTTGCAGTGTTAGGTTGGCCTTAAAAAAGGCATGCGTGACTGTAACTTTGGTTTTTTTGTGACGTTTAGGGAAGATAGATTATATTTGTGCCATAAAATTGGATCTTTAGTGCCCAACATCCAACAGCAACTGCTTTTATTTATTTTTTTCACCAGAATTTTTTTACATTTTAGCTTTTGTTCTGCACAAGATGCATATTCTGTAACAGGTGCATACTCTGCACATAAAATAATTTCATTTGCAGCACACTTTGAAAAATTTCTACAATTAAAATCACTATTCGATATTCGATTCGATATTCGGCTTTTTTTTTCTTGATTCGATTCGGTATTCGATTCGAAAACTACTGTTCGGTATTCGCACACCCCTACAATTTATGCACAATCGATCAAGAAGAAATTAGGCAAGACCCTGATTTGCCTCGAGTAATTCAGTTATTTGCACCAGATGGGGTCGCGAGGAACAACGTGATAAAGTACTATCAACATACTACAAATTCCGAGAAGAGCTTTCTTCCGTGGATGGCTTACTACTACGTGGTGAAGTGTTGGTTCCACCTATTTCGCTACGGCGTCGACTCATCGATCTAGCTCACGAGTCACATCCAGGAATTGTGCGGACGAAGCAGCGTCTACGCCAGCGCTTCTGATGGCCCAGAATGGACATCAAAGTCGACACCTACATTAGAGACTGCCACACCTGTCAGACGAACGACAAGACAGCTGTGACGGCGGCGGCACCCCTACAACCAGTTCCATTCCCATCAGGGGCATGGAGACAATTAGGAATAGACATTGTCGGACCTTTCTACAAACTTCCATCGCAATTCAGATTTGCAGTCACCCTAGTTGACTACTTCAGTAAGTGGCCAGAGGTAGCTTTTTGTAACCAAGTTACGGCTGAAGCTGTATGTGAATTCCTCATTAGAATCTTCAGCCGGGAAGGGCATCCAGAGGTGATTGTTTCTGATCACGGCCCACAGTTTTAATCCCGCATATTCCGGGAGTTCCTGAAGTCCAGAGGGATTTCCCACCATTGGTCTGCGATATACCATCCACAAGCAAATGGTCAGGTTGAGCGCTTCAACCGAGTGCTTAAGCAGTAGTATGTCCAGACTATCCTGCAGGAACAAGGCAACGTTCGTACAGGCCTTGAGGAGTTTCTGGGTGTCTACCGAAGCATACCACATGCAGAGACGAAGCTCTCCCCCACTGAGCTCATCCACGGACGTAAAATGCGGACCCGTATGGACATTGTGGGCTTCCCAAGTTTTGACAAGCCCGTTCACATTGAAATGCAGCAACTCCGCCAACGCATTGTTAATTACCACAAGCACAGCAAGCAATACACAGATGATAGGCGGAGAGCCAAACCATTTACAGCGGGGTAGGAGATTATGTACGGGTAAAGATCCCTACACACCGACCGAAGGGAACACCATCGTTCGGCCCGCCTGAAAGAATTCATGAAGCGGTGGGGCCAAGCACCTTCGTCACGTCAGGAGGAGGATGCTGGAATTCATCGAGGTTGTCTCGAACACGCATTCCAGCAAGACACGAAGTACAGGTGGACTACGCAAATCCAGAAGCTGGAGCAAATACACAGCTGCCGCTTCCAGCTCCACAAAAGTCCACAAGGAATAAGAAACCTCCAGACGGGTTCTCCCCCTGTTGAACTCTGCTTCGAGGGGGGATTGTGTTGTGTCTGCAAGCTGATCCTGGCTGCTGGTGGATGAGGACGAGGAAGGGGGATACGAACGGAGCACGAGATGGAGCAGTTGGTTTTTCTGTCCTGTCTTACCTAGTCGCTCGTATTAAAAACACAACAAATAGCACATTGTTCAGTGGGCCAAAAGAAGAAAGGTAGAAAGACAAAAGCCTGACTTTCAGTGCGAAAATTTGAAAACAGCGGACTATTTCATACCTCCTCCCCTTCGTAAGCTCTCTCTCTGCCTTTTCACTTTGATACACCCGCGGTCCCAAAAGCGCGTCTTTGGGTCCAAATGCACGTCACACGAAACCAGACCTCACTTATTCCCTTCACCCCTAAGCTGACATTGTGGTGGTAACTACGCGCTTGCCGGACCAATCAGCCGCCTGTCCGGGCACACAAACCAGTTCTTGAGCAAGGATGGCCTCCCCTCTTTTCGTCTTCTTGAACTGTTTGGTGGAATGCGCAATTTATGAGTTGAGGAGGAAAGCTAAACAGGAAAACGTTGGAAACGCGTGTCATGACCCCTTTAACGGTGTTTCGTTGTCTTCAGTTGATGTGTTCATTCCTTTAAGTTATTTTAAAAAAACTCAGTGATGTCAAGGCTGTCTTAGGGATTTTTTAAAAATAATTTTGTTCAATATTTTTGCGTGTATAGTGTTTGATTTGTGTGTTTTGTTTTGTCCGTGTTGTGATGCACCACTGGGAAGGCATGTTGCTGTTGGTGGGCGTCAGTAAGAAACATAAACATAAGCTGAGCTTAGAGGGGCCTCAGCCTCACCCGTGGTTTGAATGAGGTTTGCTAGCTCTTTGGACCCCTCATGGTTATGAAATGGAACACCCATTGATATAGTGCAACTGCATATCGTCCTGGCAAACTGAGAAGTGCTGCGAAACTGGCATTAAGCTATGAGGCCTGAATTCTGTTTTTTCTATTATTTGCACATTTTAATAGATGAAAAAATTCTTAGAGTGCAGGCGAGCTGGAGCCTTTTGAATGTGATGGTAAACCCCAGGAATGAGATGCTGCCTGTCCCCTTTTTTTTTTCTCCTCTTAATGGTTTAGCTCTGTTCTCCGATAGTTTCAAGGTTTTCTATCATCCTAATAGATACTTAAGCATGCCACTTCAACAGTGAAGTTTCATGAGCCCCAGTGCTTTCTCTTCTGTGAAAGGCAGGTTTGTTTGTTTTTTAAATATTTTTAGTAGTCTGGATTGTATAGGTGTAGACCACTCATTTTCACCCCAAGAAGAAAAGCATGTTTTGTGCATTCTTTATACGCCATGCAAAGTAGTTATTACAAGATTTGGTTATGGAAGAAGAAGCGATGCGGCATTTGGAACGTGTACGTCTTGATAAGATAACGCATATCTAATCTAAAATGCACCTACATATACTGTAAACGACATATTTTTTGCGGGCTCACTATTTTGCAATTTAGGTGAAAGCTGAAGTTCTGGAATTATTTGCGGGTTCTAATTTTTGCGACGCAGTAGAATCTCAATATAGATTTCAGTGTGTTTACATTTTACCGGAATTATTCGCAGGACCTATTCTTTGGAATTGTAGGCGATTCGCAAAATTCACAAAAATTAGGTCCTCGCGAATGTTAAGTCCCACATAAAGGGGAAAGTTAGTAATGCTCCACGAGGAGCCGGACTTTTTTTACTACAGTTCTTGATGTGAAAATGAGTATAGGAGTAACTGATGTCCTGGATGATTCACCAAAATTATTTCGAATTGTTTCCACCGGCAGTAAAGGGTAGATATTTCTCCAACGGTTAGGGGACTCGCAACAATAAATTTAAGGACTTTACCATGCTACTCGAGACTCATTGCTGTTTTATGCACCATTCTACCGCTAACTTAAAGGCCGTTAAGTACCGCTATAGGGCTGTGCTTACCTACTTCTCAGCTATTCTTAGTTCTTCATGTGCCTCATTATTCCTCGTCGTGCATCGTGGGTCTTTACATGCGTGATTGGAAATTGTTTCAGGGGGCCCCGGGGGGCCAGGTCGGTGTTCCATGCGGGACCCTCGCTACAGCAGGCGGGCACGCTGAGCTTCCTGGACGGTCAAGTGAGCGCCGCGCTGGCACTGCGCTCGGGACACGAGTACCGCTTCTGGACGCTCACCCTGGTCCGGTACCTCGCCTCTGAAGGTAAGGGCACGGCTTCTTTGTCAAGAGAACTCAACCTTTGTCCGAATTTCAAGGTGCGCTCATTTTGTTTTGAGGCATCGTGCGTCAAACCCACTTCTGGCCTGTTATGGTACCCGGACGGCGTTTCCGACCAATGCATTGACCATCTGATCCCGCCCGTGCATCGAAAGTGGTCCCAAAGTGAGAACGAATTGCGTCACAGAAGCCGGCATGTCATGCCAGCTTCCGTGATGTCGTGATGCCGGCTCCCGTGATGTCGGATGTCGCGATCCTGGCGGTTGGTCGTAGAAATGCCGGCAAAAAAGGCCAACGGACGTGAGGCTCGTTGTCATCGTCGTTGCGGCGTCCCGTCCCGTGCCCGCTTTGGTTTCCGCCAGCCGTCCAGCTGCGGAGTGCCTACAGCAGGTCGGGCGTTTGCCGCATTCGCCTCCACTGCCGCACTGCCGTCGGGATTGTGGCGGGCAACGGCTACCCTTCCGCGATGGTATCGGGTGGAAATTGAGGGACGACTTTTGAAGACGCGGTAAACGCTGCGGTTGGAGATGTACTCCAGGCACCAGGGTGCCATCTGCCCCTTTGGGGTGGGTGAATATCTCAATCGGTGTCGGACACTGCGTTCTGTTTCGACGGAGGGTGCGTGCCCTATGTTTGGGGTCCAATTTGGCCCGGGAGGATGTTGAGTGACGAATGTTTTCTATTGTTGCAGGGCTTGAGATTCGGCTCAAGGACCTCTGCTCCAGTCTTCTGGGACCTGTCGGTGCTACCTCACTCACGTGGCAGCCTTGCATTCTGGTGAGCGCACTAATTTGTCTTTCTGTGGAGACTAAGCTGGCACTGCGAACATTGTTTTGTTAGGGTAGCGGAGCACCCTATGCACACACATTTGGAAAGATCTGTTGACATACACTTTGCTCTGTGATACTGAAGATGAGGTGTGAGCCATTTATGTGTGTTGTGAGAAACATGCGCTTAAGTAACGGTTGCAGTTTTATTCTGAAATTTCGACCTTCAAGATTGGGTTGCGGCCTTCACCGGAAGAAAAATTTCTTAGGGTGTGCGAATACTCAAATATATGATATTGAATCGAATAGAAAGTTCCCGAATAATTTGATTTGCGAATCGAATTCCTAGTATTCGGTCACTCAAATATTCAATATATTCGGCCAAGGACGCGCGGTCGGCGCGGAGCTGACACAAAAAGCCATTTTTTTCCGATGTAAGCGCCGTTATGTTAAACGGACCATGCGAGAAACACCTCTTGGTCCCACCATTCCACAAAAATTTAATGCTCAGGTTAGAAAAAAGAAAAGTAACGAATGCCACAAACTTCATAGCACGCAGATTTACTCACGATCGTGACACAATCTACCCTTAAATCGCAACCGAAACATCCCGTTTGCGCCGCTTCCAGGGAGGAATTGTTGGGAAGCCGGGATTCCGCGCCATGCCTAATTCTTTTCACGAGTAAAGCCCCTTGTTTCAAATTGAAGCGCCTATGTAAAACACACTTGCCGTGCTCACAGAAATCGGTGACTGCATGATCACAGAAAGAAGACCGCGTTAACCATGCCGATAAAAACCAACCAAGTTGTCGTGGTTTTTTTTTTAACCGCAAGCCGCAAATTTTGATTCGGAACGAAACGGAACGGAACGGGAAAATAGTGTGCCTAGATCTGAGAGGGTTTCCAACCGTTCGATAGCCGCGTTTGAATTACGAACAGCGAGAAGGTGACGAAAAGACGAAAGCGTCGATTGGGATTGGGCAGACAGGGCAGGCGTCGTCGCTGTTCCGTTTGCTAGCCTTCGTTTGATGCGACAACACAACACATGCGCACTTACGACCATTCTGCGCTGGAGCCGTCTCCGTGGTTTCAGTTTCGCTTGCTCCCTCTTTGAAATCTAGGCTCTTTAAAACAGGATAGATGGACGGAAAAATGAATTCGTTGCAGCAGTTGGACGGTGACTTGCGCCACCTAACCATGTGGTTTTTTTTCTTACTTTATATTGTTTAAGCCTGTTTACTCAGATTTAACACCTGTCTGTTTATTTATGTGATATAAAATCCCGGGTGCCCTTTTTACTCCTTTAAATGGGGACCAAATAATGCAAAATGCCCTTTTTCTGAGATATACATACATAAAAAAAGTCGCCGTGGTGTTAGGTTGTGTTTTTAACGAGAAAAAAAGGCACACATGGCTGTAACTTTGGGTTTTCTGTGACGTTTAGGGTAGATAGATTATGTTTGCGCCATAAAATTGGATCTTTAGTGACATCCAACAGCAGCTGCTTTTTTTTTTCTCTAGAACTTTTATACGGTTTAGCTTTCGTTCCTTACGAGATGCATATTCTGCACCAGGTGCATACTCTGCACATAAAATAATCTCATTCGCAGCATTTCGAGCTTCATTGAAGCTCAAAGAGCAGCGGCACTGCCTGTGACCATGGAAATAATCCGCTCAGAAGCGAGTGGAATTGCAAAAGCACAGGGTGCGCCCCAAATGGAGTTCATTTCATTTCATTTCATTTATTATACCCTCAGGGCCCGAAGGCATTAGAGAGGGGGAGAGCAACAAGAAGGTTAATGCAAATAACATAATACATATTTAGACACACTCAGTAATAAAGTAATTAGTTATTGTACTTTTAAAGAGCTCAGAGTCCGTGATAATGGCGATCGACCGGGGAAGGTGGTTCCACTCCTGGGATGTACGGGGAACGAAAGATGAATAAAACGTGGTTGTGATAGAGTTAGGAATGCCCACCTTATGTTGATGATCAAGACGGGAGGAAACATAGACAGGCCGAGCAATTAATTTGTCGCGCAGGAAAGAATTATGGTGATACATTTTATGGAATAGGGAAAGACGAGAAATTTTACGACGTAGGGATAAAGGTGGTAATGAGAGAGTTGTTTTCATAGAGGTGACGCTAGCGGTGCGGTGATAGTTTGTGAGGATGAAACGAGCGGATCTGTTCTGAACGGCTTCCAATGTAGATACGAGAGTGACTAGTCCGGGATCCCAGACAGAAGCTGCATATTCTAACTTGGGACGAATTAAAACTTTGTAAAGAGTTAATTTCAGTGAGACAGGGGCTAATGAAAAATTTCGCTTGATGTAACCTAACATTCGGTTAGCGTTAGCTGAAATATGCTGAATATGTGTTTTCCATGAAAGGTTAGAAGCTATATGTACGCCTAAATATTTGTACGAAGATACCGGTTCTAGATGAGCATTATTAAGGAAATAGTTAGGAGAGTCCTGAGACTGGCGAGACACACGCATGACCTTGCATTTGTTAGTGTTAAGCTTCATAGACCACGAGTCAGACCAACGGTAAATAGCATTAATGTCTGATTGGAGTATACAGGTGTCATTATGATTGAGAATCTCACGGTAAAGTACACAGTCGTCAGCGAACAGAGACACGGACGAAGAGACACTAGTGGGTAGGTCGTTAATATAAATTAAGAATAGCAACGGCCCTAAGACTGTCCCTTGCGGAACCCCTGACGCAACTTTGACAAAAGAGGAGTTATTGTTATTCACAGTGACAAATTGAGACCATTGAGTTAAAAAAGACTGTATCCATGCGAGAACGTTATTGTCTATGTTAAGTTTGGAAAGTTTTAGAAGCAGAAGATTGTGAGAAACTTTGTCAAATGCTTTGGCGAAATCCAGGAAAATGCAGTCCGCCTGGGATCCTCCGTCCAGAATGTGATGTAGGTCATTCGTGAAAGATAGCAGTTGGGTCTCACATGAAAATGTTTTTCGAAAACCGTGTTGGGCATTGTTGAAGAAGTTGTTAGATTCTAAGAAGTTGACGAGGTGAGAAAAAATTATATGTTCAAGAAGTTTGCAAGGAATGCTGGTTATTGAGATCGGACGATAATTAAGAGGGGAATGTTTATCTCCAGCCTTGTGAATGGGTACCACCTTCCCTACCTTCCAGTCTGATGGGAGAACAGCGTCTTGTATAGATTGTTCAAATAATTTTGTTAAAATAATTGAGGAGTATTGTTTAGTGTTTTGTAAAAACTTGGAATTAATGCCGTCCACACCTGCTGAAGATGACAGTTTGAGTTTATCTATGATACGACCGACGCCAACGTAATCAAGAAAAAGAGGATCCATGGGCAAGTAATCGGCACTTTTTAGCGAAGGGAAATCGTGCATGTTATCAGTAGAGAATGAATTTGCAAAAGTACTATTTAATAAATTTAAACACTCATCGCTGGCTATACAATCACCATTTGCGCTTTTTAGTGTGATAGATGACTGCGTCTTTTTGTTTATTGTGTTCCAGAATTGTCTAGGATTGTTGATCAACATTGCGGGTAGGCTATGAGTCATGAATTCTAGTTTGGCGTTTTCAATTGCTTTTTTGTACACTTCAGCAGCAGTACGATAACGCAACCAACGGTGCTCGCACGTGGATAATTTTGCGGCGCGAAATAGACGCTTTTTTTTGTTTGATAAGCGTTTTAAGGCTCTGGTGAACCAGGGTGACTGAGAGTTTTCGATAACTCTCCTTAAGGGAATGTACTGATTTGTTAGTTTATTAACTTCGGTTTTGAAAAAGTTCCAGTTTTCTTCTACTGAGCGACTTGAGAAGAGTGATAAATATTCATCGAGGAAAGTTGCAAGGTCAAGATTAATTTTATCAAAGTTAGCTTTGGCGTAATCTCGAATTTGCTTTACATTAGTTGATGGTTTCGGTACTGCTGCTTTTACATTAAAATGCAATATGGAATGATCACTAAGCCCTGGAAGATAGGAGATGGGTGAAACGAGTTCAGGATGAGTAGCGAGAACAAGGTCTAATACGTTCGCCGTCAATGGGGTCACTCTGGTTGGTTGGGTAACTAGTTGCGTGAAACAAAAATCTAAACAGAGGCTAACAAAATCATTGCATTCAGATGAGGCAGATGAGGGTGTGCCTGTTGGTGGGTTATTACCTGTCCACACAATATCAGGATAATTAAAATCTCCCAACAGAAAAATTGGCGAACTGGGAAAGCGAATGACGACCAGATTTATGGAGTCCTGCAAAGCTTTAATGAAAAATGATGAGCACGAGGGCGGCCTATAGCAAACTCCCATGATCCACTTCATGTGATTAGTACCAAGACATACCCAAACTATTTCTAAATCACTAGCTATGTTTAAACAAAAAGAATCAATATGACTTGCAATGGCAACTAAAACGCCCCCACCGCACCTATCTTGCCGATCGTTCCTGTAAATATTGTACCTTTTAGGTTCATAAAAAAGTTCGCAATCATGCACCCTCCCAGTGAGCCAAGTTTCCGTTAAAACAACAACATCAGCAGCTGTTGAATCCACAATAGAACACAAGTCGTCTCATTTTTTAATGAGGCTTCTAATATTTGTAAAAAGTACCGATACATCAGAGACAGGTGAAAGAGACACTCTACCCCTCGCGGCCTGTTATTGCGATGTTGATGGCTGAGATGAGTCATTAGCGGGCAGGGAATTCTGTGTGACAGTAACAACCGGCGTAGTAGAGGGGCCAACCTCGTACACATTTTCGGTGGTGAGATCAAAAGCATAGCATTTATTGTTAATGTGAATTCTGTTATGTCGAAGCTTAAAAGTGCCGCCTTTTTCTTTCGCGAAATCGATTAGTTTTTTTCGTGCGATACGTGTCCCAATTGAGTAGTCTTCGCTTACTGTTATGCGTTTTGCTTTCAGGGGGGCTCTTGAGAGAAGAACGTTGTCTTTCAATTTGTAGGACGCGAATTTGACGATGACTGGGCGGCATTTGTTCTGACAAAACGTGCCGATTCTATGGGCCCGAACAATAGCTTCGTCCGATATTTGTAGATTAAGCGACTGTCGAAATATGTTCAGAATTGTTTGTTCTGTCTGCGCCCATGTTTCTGATATTGTGTCGGCCATCCCGAAAAAAACCAAATTATCACGGCGTGAACGGAAGCGAGCAGGGGCTGGGCCCAAAAGTTCATGCGGCATTTTGGGTTTAGCCTCTGGTAACGAACGTCACTTTGACAGAAACTTCAGTGACAGAGTCTAGTGATGATTTCAGTCTGGATGTTTTCGTGAGTTTTTCCGCATCCGAATAAATATTATTTCATTTTAATTGGTGGTTTTTTACCTCTTCGATTGGCTTACAATTGAGGATTCTTTTTTTACCTTTCAATTTCCCAGGGTCGGCCTAGAATCAGTGCTGGCCTAGATTAGAATAAATGTGGTACTTTCCTCCATGCTGCAAGGTAGCTCCCGAACAGGAAAGGCTGGATGTGCTGTATGTCTTAAACCTCTACTAATACTGAACGAGTAGTAACGCGACGGTTGGACAAATTGTATAATATTGTAAAAAATAGTGTTAAAAACCGTGGCGTAGCTTTTAACGAGCAAATGTCAAGCAGCGATTCTTACACCCAAGTTTACACATTCCTGCATACCAATAGGTCCTTCTAGTTAAGCAGCGAGACAGAAGAAATGAGGAATGACGTACAGTATAGACCACTTACAACGTAACCGCTTATAGTGCAGGACCGGGTATAACGCGGCTTTTCTAAACCACCGGTTCGCCTCCTACAGAACTCCATCTATTTACATACCGCTTAAAATGCAGGCGCACGAAGGGAAATACCGGTTATAGTGCGGTTTTTGGAACAGCGCGCCGACTGAGCGGCGCAGCGAGCACGCTTCCCTGTGCGACACTAGATAACGGCGCGAGCCGCAATGGCCGCAAGCAGCACTCGCGGGGCAAGGAGGTTGCTCGAAGGCTCGAAGAATCGGGGAGAAGCGAAGAGAGAGGCTTCAGTTGCCATAGCGACGGAGGGACGCACACATGTGTCGTTCACGTGCGTGCGTCCCTCCGCTGCGTTGGAAACAAACAACCGCAACGACAGACCAACCGCAGGTCGAGAAGTGTTCGCGCGCGTTGCATGCCGGTCGCGGGCCGGCTGCTTCTATCCGCGAACATGGCGTCGGTTGTGATCGTCGACGTAGACGGCGTTAAAGTGAACTAAAGCGTGGTGGAAGCTCATCGGTCCGCGTGAAAGCGCTACCCTTGACTGTGAATTTTCGTTGTGTGTCGCTATGATAACCCAGCACGTACTAGAAGGGAAGATCCACCTACTCGTGCGGCGATGTTGTGGCGACACACTCAAGACGGCAGAAACGCCCGTGTCGTCGTGTTTGTTTACTTCGACTACAGTGGTGCTTTCTAAGCATTTGTGTTTTCGAACATCGCCCGGATTTCTTATTTGGAGCATTTCATGCCTGTGCTCAAGTTGAGGGTATTACTGGCGCGCACCGTATAAAGGATGCGAATTTTCACGCGTTTTCATCACTGGAGAAAAGTGATTAGGGTTAGCAATCCTGAACGCTCGCAACGTCCGTCCGCAACCTGCGACGTCAATAAAAGGCTGCGCCAGGCAAAAGTCTCTCATTTCTTTCGAAATGTGTGACACACTTGAGAGAGAACTGTACTAGTCTGGTGAAATAAAGACTTTCCTCAAACTAAGCTTTATTTTTCATCTAACTTAAAATAAATTCTTTTACAAAGGTAAGTTGTGTGATGGCATGTATTTTGGCCTGAAAAATTTATGTTTTGGTTATAGCGCGGTACCACTTATAGTGCGGATTTTCGCGACTCCCGCGACATACGTTATATGCAGTCTACACTGTATTTAGGCAAACTATGCATGTTCTGTGGCCTCGTGTACAGGAGACTGTTGGTGTCATTCGTTGTGCAATTTTCTCTTCTAGGGTGTAAATAAGCGGGACTTGCTACGGGAGATCCTCCCTGTGTTGGCTTCGAACTTGAGGCTCCAGCGCCTCTTCAGCGAATTCAAGGAACAGCTGGACACGGCTTCCCTACCTCCCAACGGCTGAGTGGTCTACGTCAACTTCACATCGTCACATCACATCGTTCCTCGCCGTCCTTCCATCTGCAAACAAGTCGTGCTCATAAAAGCAATACACACCTGCCGGGTGAATGTTCCGGTGCCGGGGACATTCTCTATGTCTGTGCAGGCCGTGGCAACCTGTGCAGGCTACAGCAACGTCAAAGAGAAGACGCCAGATGCAAAGGCCGGTCGCGTGTTGGGTGTATCTGTGCCGTTCTGCTGCAGCCGGGGTGGGAAATTGGCCGTCGGTGAAAGTGACCCCTCACTTGCTTCTTTGGAGATGCCACTGGGTTGCAGCTGTGATTTGCGTTTCCTTCGATTGACTTTACTCTCTAGGCAGCATTCTTTGCGAGTAATTTTCGGGAACATTGTGGACGGATAGCCTGGTTTTTAGAGTGTCGGATCACTGGATTTGAAATGCGAGGTTTGGCGGAATTCTAGCTGGAACGAAAACTGTGGGGTGTGGCTATCCTCCTCCCCGCCTTCACCTAGAAGGTTTCTTTAAAATAAGTTATATCGATAGTGTAGGCTTACGATGTACTTACTAATTGATATACATATAATGAAGCTTGTTTTATAGGTGGAATACTGTTTTTTTAGAGAACACCTGGCACAAGTGATTTTAGGATTCAACTGGTGTGGTCTCGGAGAATTGTGCTGGCCTCGTCTGCCGCACCCCTATTGCTGCCATTCTGTGGAAATGGGCAGAAAGGGAATGCCTTGGGCTACCATCTCTTACAACAGCGTTTTCTTTTGCGCATATTTTATTAAAAGTTAAAATTTCTTAATGATGACAGGCAAGTTGGTTCTGTCTGTACAAAGCTAAATTTATTGTCTACCTTGCTTTAGTGGCCCCCTTTTGTCCATGTCAAGTTAACGGAAGAAGTCAATGCCACTGGTTATTTCCTCGAGGAAGTGGTAGAATAGGGTTAGTTTATGGTTAGCTTAAAGACAACAATTGTGGAATTAGTGTATCCTTAATTGCTGACAAAATATTTGCAATTCGACATCTACTTCTGGGCAGCAGGCAGACTACGATGTTAGCTGATATGGGAAAAATTGGGCCTGGCTTTTATGTGGCTTAGAAACGACTGGTGTTTTGGGGTTAATGTTTTGTTCTACTAGTTATTTTGAAATTTAAGTCAATAAGAAGGGATGTCTCTTCTATCCTCAAATGGAAACTAAACAATGATGACTGCCTTGCGTTTTTTCTTTGTATTCTGTATGTAGCTCTGTTTTTATGGGCACATTTGCCACTGTGTTCTCATTGAGCATGTTGTTTATAGTGATGCATTTTTGTAAAAAGAATTCATAGGGATGATGCTGATAGTCTTGGTTGTTTACATTCTGTTATTGTTTTTTTGTATAGAAACATCTCCTACCATTTTGTAAATTAAGATACCCTGGTTAGTGCACTAACAAGGTCTTTGCTTGTGATTCATCTTCGTCGAACACCCAGAATGATGGAGGAACACATGTTTATTTCATAAACTATGCAAGCCAAGGATTTTTCTTTTGCTATGATTTTTTTATTCAGATTACGAGGCATGTTCAAGGGCCACATCTCTTTAGGTTTAATGGATTGCCTAAAATGTAGCTCTGCAAACGATTTGTTTTAAATAGATTGTTCCCAGTTTGAGTGAGCAGATTTAGAAATGGGCTGTACCTTGCTGGTTTGCAACATATTTTATATTTATGACTTGTGTTCAATTTCTTCAAATGTTAGAAGTTTATTCACCTTTGTTGAATTGGGTTCAGTTATAAACATACAGCTCTGTGGTATTATTTTTACATTCTGGAATTATGATAACTGTTCTGGTTTACAACTCCAGCTATGTGATGACGGCTAAAGTATTTGCACACAAGTGCCAATATGGTCAGTTTCCCAGAAAATTAGGCAATAGTTGATATATTTTGGCTTACTAACTTTGGTTTTTACTTTGAATGACAAATAATTATAATTCACATTTAGATTTAAAAAAAAAAAATCTGCAAGAAGTATGGTCAAATGCAAAGTTTGTCTTTATGCATAAAATGCAACTCTTCATTTTTTTCTTCTTTTTTTTGTACAATCATTTTTGTTTGAAATTAGTAACTTTTGTTAGAATGCTAGTTGACTACCTGCTAAGCTCGTAATAACTTTAAATTATTATATTTTTCTTCAACAGCAATTTTATACAAAAAGCTACCAAGTTCAATTTTTCTGGCATTTACATAAATGTATGTCAATTTATGTTCAACGTGTAAGATGAGCAGGTCGATAGTAGGTGGGTGTGCTCAGCCCAGTAAGTATGCACCTAAGTGACCGATTTTCACTCAATGGCAATGCAAGACTGCGCTCAGTAGCCAGTGTTTCTTGGATTTTCAATGCCTTACTATTTTGGCCGAGGCAGTGCTAAGCTTCTAACCCGAAGACTACAATCCTATTCTTAGTTTTCTGCATCGTTCAGCACAGGCTGCACCCAGCGATAGCATGTTTTTAGCCATCTCTTGCTAACAGGAAAAGAAATTGTTTGACAGGTAAGGTTGAGTCCCATACAAAAATCTCCCCAAAGCTTGTTCTTTTTTTTTTTTTTCTTTTTACAGCAAAGCTGGTAAAGGCTAGTTTCCCCAGTTTCGTGTCCGTGGACAAATAAATCTCGACACAACCCTCTGGACAGCTACCGCCATCTATAAACGACAACGGCGACTAGACAACCGGCTTGCCGGTTGTCTGGTTGCCGCCGTTGCTTGTAGATGGCGGCACATAGTACAACTCCGCTGCTCTTCCTTCTTCACCAGTGGAAAGGCTGAAAGATTTTCTTTTCTTTTTTTAATCTATAGATTTCAGCAATGCAAGCGTGTGACTCCGTCAAACCCTCAGGAATCCAGAAGCTCAAATGGAATTAGAAGCTTTGTACAGTGAAACAAGAAAGCAAAAAGAGCATCTTTTTCTTGATGTGACTGTTTTCTGACTGGGTGTGAAGCGTGTGTGTGTGTGTGTGTGTGGCATCTTCATTTATAGAGATTTCACAGTGCATGCGTGAATGAATGTTCCAATTTTGTTTTTATTATTTGATAGGTTTACCATTCCACCTGGAAACTGTTGCTTGCATTTGTAGGTTTTTTTCCTTTTGCAGGCATCACATCTGTGCATAAAAATAAAGAAAAAAATTCATTTATGCTGACTTGCATGTCTGAAATTCATAGTGCTTCTTAATCGAGGAAATGCATTGGCATTTTAATCTAGTGTGTTTGCGTGCGTGCCTTCCCCCCCCCCCCCCCCCCCTCCCCCCCTCCTTTTTCGCGACTTGTCGTCCGGTCCCCTCAGTGTCGGCTTCGTGATGACTCAGCATCCAGGCAATGTGCTTACTGCACCATTTGCGTCAAAGTGGTTATCTCGCTACAGTTTACCTAAGTGTTAGAAATGTGTGCTAACATTGCAGCAAAAACACATTTCACTGAAACTAATGACTCGGGTGCCACTGTAACAATAATTACCGTAGGACATCACCTCTTCTCTAGTGGGCGATTTTGAATTTACCGTTTGAACAGCAAACTGCCTGGCAACTGTAAAAACTAAAAAGGGAAGAGAAAAAGACCACGCAAGCAGTGCTATGAAAAGGCAGTAGCCATTTTCCTAAACTAAATATGCCAAATGCCCTGCGGCGCCTTGTGGTGTTTTTTGGAGAATCGGAGCTATGTGGTGCTAGTAGAGAGCTCCGCATTGAATTCTTTCAGGATAGAAGTGCCGCCACAGAGGTGCATGATGGGATGTGTATGAGCAAAAAATATTGCATACGGAGTGCGCAGCGCCAGGTCTTGGAGTGTCACGTCTTAGAACAAGCTGTACGTACGCCCAATACATATTGTGCTTTCCATGCATCAAAGTCAAGTTTATACAAAGGTCTGCAATTTCTGCTAGAGGCTAGACTATAATTTTCCATACACATTGCATTTACACCGGAATGTCCGTACATTGGAACGTCCATACACCGAAACGTCCGTGCACCGAAACGTCCTACACCACAATATGTAGATCCCGTATGTTTGTATCCGTTCGACTCCAGCGAAATTGACGGCGGCTAGGGGCCGTAAACCCGTCAAACACAAGTTAGAGCGGAAAGTTTGCTGAGCACGCCGATTGGATGCTGGCGAGAAAAGCGCAAAGTCATCAATCGGTGCGCTCCGTAAACTTTGGCCCCAACTTTGAGTTTGACGAGTGTAGAGCCCTAGAACAGAAAACTGTGAAGGCAGGTTCTCTGGCCAACCTTTTCGAGCGAATCAGAGTTTGATAGCACTAGCGGTCTAAAAACGAAGCCGTGAAAGTAGGTTCGAAAACGCGCGGTGAAAATCATTAGGAGGGGAAACTGTTTCCGTAGGGTTTTGTTTGTACACACTTCATTTATCTTTTTACGTAGAGCCTCACCACCAAAAGAAACCACCCCCCAAAATTTTTTTATGGCTATGCCACTGACGTACAGGCTACAGATTCTTCAGTACAAACTACTCTCACTATTTAACTTTTTAGACGAGCAAGATGTTCACATGGAGCTTACAAACAGAAAGGCGTTATACTTTTTTTCTCTCTCTAACTGTGTATTAGGTCTCGAATATAAGTCGTTAATTTTTGTAGCAATATTTTGTTTTTCATGCACGCCAAGCGGACAGATTTTTGCTCTGCCCCCTTACCCTCAATTTGCATTCTAGGTGCAAAATAAATTAAACTGAATTGAAAGTAAAAGCAAGGCGATGCTAATGAACCTTTTCCACATACCGACGGCACCAGGCGGTGGCTGCACGAACTAAAAATCGAGGAAGTGACCTACCTGCGCTACCAATCGATAATGGGAGCTACGCTACCAGTTTCTTCGCTCTCTGAGCAGCGGCGCCTGCCCAATGCGACTTTAAAGAGGGGCATCTATGGCGTCCAGCCAAACGTCGTGTTTTCCTTTCCGTCGACGTTCTTTTTTTCTGCAACACAATTATATATATGCTGCAGTTACGTGTTCTACTCGCTGATAGGGGTGTCGCGAACCGGCCGAGGTTCGAGTTCGATCAGGTTCGACTTTTTCGAACTTTTAGTGGAAAATTCGACGAACCTTGTATTGAGGTTCGACTCGTGTGCGCATGCGCGACAGGTTGGCCAGTTGGCTTCGGATTGGATGGTAATGGCTAAGGAATAAATTAAGGGCAGCGCTGATTGGTTATTTCACTTAATACAGTACAAAAAAATTAAGTTATTAACCTCTTCAGTGATTAGAATTAGTTTCTTTTAATTGCAACTGTTTATAAAATAAAATAACCCTTTCCTTAAAAAAAACATTTTCCAAACCTAGAAATGCTTGTATCAAGGTCTGGCCACACTGTCCACAAAGTCGAACCGGTCGAATTTGGGGAAAAGTTCGAAGGTTCGTCGAACCGGTTCGACCTAGTCGAACCCCGAAAGTTCGACTTAAAAATCTGGTTCGACAAAAGTTCGCGACACCCCTACTCGCTGATATACAGCCTCCTTCTGAATTTCCTCAATTTTTCGTTCCGACTTCCGCCGCTTGGCATCGGGCGCTCGCGCGTGCGCAGAACGCTTCTCGGAAAAGGTCCGGAGGAGGAGGAATAAACGTCTTTATTTGCCTGTAGAGCTAGGTCAAGCCTAGCCGGTGCGGCCCACACCATCCAACGCCCCAGCGCAGGGGGCCCGAGGTCGGACCTGCCTGCGCAGTAGACGCCGGGCCTGCTGGACGACCGCTACCTGGAGGTCCAGGCTACTAGCCATCACCCCGGCTTTGATGTCCGGTGGAAACCCACTCGACGTGGCCGCCTCCGCCGGCCGAGTTTCACAGTCCCACAACACGTGCTCCGCTGTTGCCCGCGCACCACACAGCACGCACTTATCACTTGAGTACCATTGCAGTTGCAGAAGCGCGCTCGTAAATGGCGCCATGTCTGACAGCAGAGCGCAAGTTTGTCTGCTTCTGATCTGGTGACGTCAGAGCATCGAGCTTTTATCGGCGCTGATTGAAGGATAGTGGGTAGGCCTCAAGACAGCTAGCATTTCTGTCTGCCCACTATCCTTTGAATCCGAGCCAACCAAAGCATATTCTGACGCCACTGCAACCCCTGTGCAAAAGCAGACGAACTTGCGCTCCAGCCCACACGTTCGTATGATATGTGGGATGCGCCAAGAGTCAAAAAATGGCCGCCGGAATCCAATAGGGAGGCAGGAGGCGCGATCAAAGGATGGCGATACTTGGGCAAGCAGGAATATGCAGAACTCAAAGTCCCTCAATAATGTTTTGCTACCTCACTCTTTGGCACTGATTTTTTTCTTCTTTATTATACACGAAATGCAGCACATAGATGTACTGTCAATATCACTCTAAAAAGCCCGTGCGTCTACTTTCCCTCATAACACTCGGAAAGTCAATCACCGCAATTTACGGAGGCAGCTCAGCGAATGACGATGCCGAAACATATGTTTAGACCCAAAAACGCAGTATAAGTTGTGACATCGAGCAATGCAAGCGTGACGTTTCGCATTGCTTAATGTCAAACTCTGTGTTTTTCGGTCTAAACACATGTTTCGGCATCGTCATTCGCTGAGCTGCCTTTGTAAGTTGTGGTGATTGGCTCTCCGAGTGTTGTGCGGGAAAGTCTTTTTATAGTGTGTACACACGAACCACCCAAATACTCGTGGGCTTACTAAAATTCTTTAAAGGGCCCATGAAACGAATTTTAAGTTGGGATAAATCATTTTCGATAGGGATTCTGCTAATAGCACATCGTTCAGTGGGCCAAAAGAAAAAAGGTAGAAAGACAAAAGCCTGGATTTCAGTGCGAAAATTTGAAAACACAACGAACTATTTTGTACCTTTTCCCCTCCGTGCACCCTAAAAAATGTCTGTAAGTCTACTTTCACGCACAACACTCGGAGAGCCAATCACCGCGACTTACGGAGGTAGCTCAGCGAATGAAGATGCGGAAACGTATCTTTAGACCAAAAAAAAAACGCACTCTGAGTTGTGACATAAAGCAATGCAAAACGTCACGCTTGCATTAAAGGGATACTTCAAAGAAATTTGAAATATTCCCGTCGTTTTCAAAAATAGGCTGAATATGATCCCCAATATCCGTAAATGACAATCGCACGTTTGTATTTTGAGCCTGGTGGCTGTATTTTTTGTTATAAACGGCCCACTCTGGCAGGCGCTCGGAGAAGGCCCAGCGGAGACCACGTGACATCCAAAGCAATCGTGACGTAGGTCGTCTCAGGACGAGCAAAGCTACGGCGAGGCTGACGTCGAGAGGATGGCCTAGTCGTTCCAGCCACCGATGCGGCTGCTTTTGTACGAATTTTGAGTGACGTGTTAATCTTCTGTAATCTTGTAGGGGGACAATATCGACTTTTGCGACACACAATAGGCGTTCTCGAGAAGAGGGGAGTTCCTCCTGCCCCTCTTCTCTCGTCGTGGCCGGAGGCGAGACAACCTCCGTCTCTAGCTCTCAAGGTTTCTAGATGGGCATTACAAACGAGGCGTTAGCGACATCCACCAGGTGCTCTTTGCTAATCGTTTAATTTGTTTTAAAATTTCTTTTCGTGACTTTTTTACAAGATATTGGTATGTTCGATGTGATGCTGCTCCTTTGAACACATATAGACCAAAAAATGAGCGCCGAAATTTCGTTGTAGTATCCCTTTAAAGGAGCTGTGCACGAGCTTACTGGCACACCTGGGACTCAAGGATACTCACACGCAACGCCACTGGCCAAGAAACTGCTTTGTTGCGGTGTAATTTCAAGGACAAAAGCGATCATTTTCATTCAATCTCTCCTTTGCAAAATTTCATGACGTAACGTGGGGATCGCAGTACACCCAAGTGACGATATTTGAATGCGGTTCATAGATTGGACCCGAGCATTGCTTGGGCACTCGATTTGGGCTCGTGTTAATTACTAGCTCGAGAAGCATTCGGGTAGTGGCCCATATCCAATCGCTGCAACGACGACAATAGCCGAGCCATAACAATATCTGGAACTCAGCGCGTGCCCTGTGCTTTGCCAACCCCAGCGCGTGGCTGTGATCAACACTGGCGACATATAATCGGCTCCAGATCATGTGGCCGCTTGTTCTGGCTGCGAGTCGAGGAGGTGAACGCTGTTCGTTTTTCTTTAATTTTTTTTTCTGGGACTT